CGTCGCTAACGTGAAGGGCTTTCTGAACATCCGGTCGATTGTAATATGATTTCGCGTAGTTATCCAAGCATGGGTCGTAACCACCCATGACTCTCGGCATCTATAGAGCGAGAAAACAGGTAATGTTGAAAGTGATTGATCAGCTCAGATATATTGATAAAAATACTAATGAATCGAACAAACATATATGTTTGTGACTATGACTATAACTTTAACATATACCATCTTTGAGGAGCCTCTGGCTGTGACTAGACTCGACTTTTGATCCGAACCGGACGAGATGCTGATCATGCATGTGGGTGTGTAGAGGCTGTAGATATCGATCTCGTGATACTGTTTAAGTAATTCGTCCACGGCCCCTCGACAAATAAGATTGTCCCATGTGTCCTTTCTGTAAAAATTGCAAGACTGCTCGATAATCCTGTAGGTCTCGTCTGACACAACTGCATGGCTCCACGCGTAATCCACCATGCCTTTCCAGTCCTCGGCATCGTGCGTTTCAGGATTTCCGAGCTGTCAAAATAAATTATTAATACGCCGAAATATGTATAAAAACAATTACTATATATAATTCAATAAACATATATACCAGAATGCCTCTTAGGTTGATGAACAAGGAGGATTTTGTGTTCTTGTCAATAATAACCTCTGCTAGCTCAGGCACATACTTCCCTATTTGATTAATTCAGTTAAATTAAAAATATATGTTCATTGAAATATGTATGTGCTGCCCAAAAAAGTGATTGGCATGAGATATTGATATTCTTACAGCATTATATAATTTTAAGGGAGATGGTATGGTTCCGTTACGGAATCATCCCGTCGAGGTTCGTAACTGTTAGATCAACTATCACCGACGGTTACATGATGATCTAACGGTTACAATCCTCGACGGAATGATTCTGTAACGGACCGTAGCATTTCCCATAATTTTAATTTTATAATATTATATATATATAAAACCTGCATAACTTTCGCCAGCAATATAAAATGGTGTTGCACGATAGGAAGGGAACTTGAGGAACCACTTTTGGAGGAAAGCATAGGCATCCTGTGCTGTTTATTGAGGACACATTATTGTCCAATAAAATAAATATTTTTTCAACCAAAATAATAAATTTATTTTATCAAACTTTGATAGGATAAAATTACGTCATATTATATAGTATTTTGTTTTGGTAGCCAGCTATGGTATTCGGAGCGTTGCCCCGACTAATACCTTACCACTTAAGCCAACCCGTATTGGTTTATATAGTATTGTTTGTGCTTACCTGTAAAGTCGTCACCCAAAGTATCATAATCGCCGCTGGTGTTGGTGTGCGAAAAGCCAACGCCAATTGGAGATTCCAAGAACAGTAAATTAGCCTCTGTAGTACGTAGCACAAAAAAAATCAAATAATAATAATAATTAATTAAATATGAAATCAAAAGTTAAAAAAAAAAAGATAAAATAAAGGAAAATACTACGTTTCCGTTACGGAATCATTCTGTCGTCGTTTGTAATCGTTAGGTTATCACGTAACCGTCGACAAAATGGTTCCGTAACGAGAATGTAGCATCTCCCTAAAAATATAAACGTACTTTGGTTCCAAGAGAAAGGATTTAATTTCAAATCACTCCCATTTTTATTGTCCACTAATAAAAAAGGTCCAATCTCTTCTGATGCTCCATATCCCACAGAAGAACAACCAGGACCTTAACCAAGATCAAATTTTTAGCTAACAACATTAGCATGCAGCCGATCATAATATTCCCACGTAAAAAAATCCGTCTTAATTACCTCCATTTAGCCACAGCACTAAAGGCTTCTCACCGGGAAAATTTATGGCCTCGTAAAACCAGTAAAAAAGTGCTCGTCCGTTTTTCTCATTTACCGTGACGTGACCGGCATAATGCCGAAAACTCACGTCGGGTTGACCGGGAAGGCCAGTCACGAGATCCTTGACGGCATCCAGGTTAGATTCTTTTGTCGACCCGTGAATTTTTTGGCCGTCGACGGTAAAAAACAAATGCAAATAGAGGAAAAATATTAGTTTTAGCACAATATCCATTGTATTAAGAGGATTTGGATGTCTATACTATAGTATATGTTTTAGTGCTGCTCAATGTACAATTTGGAAGGACGAGGTTAATTGCTTATTTATACTTGGGTGTGAGGAAGAAGACAATGGGACAGTGTCTTAGATAACATAATTGTCTTGTAGTGAAGATGTGTTGATAAGTGCTACATATATAGTCATTTATAATTTGGTCAAATGTAAATATGATTATTAGGTATATATAGTCTTTTAATTTGGTCAAATGTAAATATGATTATTAGGTATAATCAGATTCATTATTGAACTCGATTAAACATGGAGAAAATTAAGGCTTTAAATTTAGTTCCTTTATTGGTTTTGGGGGATTTGACTGTTATCCTTCAAACATTTGTAGAAACTATAGTCTATTACTGACATTTAAAGGAATCACAAGAAACATAGTGTGCGAGAGGATAAGGAGTACCAAATTATGACGCAATGGAGGAGGTAGAGTGGGGGACGAGAAACAAATAGTGTGAAAGACGAAGTTGGCAAGACAAGAAGAGTGCCTCGTGAGACGATGACTACGGCCCAACACTTCCTCTTGGGGAGGATTACCCCTCTATCGGCAATGACCTCAGAACCCCCAGTGTCAATGGTACGCGTTGTAGTGACAACCACCACATCATCATCATCGTTAGAAACAGCAGGCCATGGGGCCACAGGTACGGAGGCAGGATCAAGAGTAGGAGACGTCAAATAAGGGAACCGTGATTCACAGAATTCCACATCACGTGAGACCAGAAAAGTGCGGTTGTCCAAATCATAAACACCACTGCAAAAAAAAATGGTATATTCAAACGGTAAATCCTACGGTAATATATTCTAATGGAAATTCCAACGTATATTTCAATGGTATAATTTTCGTTTGAATGATTTGAACGGTAATTCCATCGAAAATATTATGTTGGAATGAGTTTTCTATTGGAATTTCATATGGAATTTGATGATTTCAACGACTATATTTCCACCGAATTTTTCCCATAAGAATTTCTGTTAGAGTATGCAATTTCCATTGGAATTCTTATTTCCACCCCCATTAAAAAATCTACCATTGGAATTGTCAAAATCCAATGAAAACTTCAATGAAAAACTCCATCCAACGGATTATTTGTGTTGGAATTTTCTGTTGGAATCAATTATAATATATTTTCTTTAAAATTTCCCGTTGAAATTTCATCATTTTTTTGTAGTGCACACCACCCCTTTTGACCAGATGGATAGCCAAAAAAAGCACATCGACGACTCCGACTTGCATTGTCACTGTCCGTGTTATGATTGTGCAAGTAATACAAAAAGCCAAAAACACGTAAATGCGCATAGTTGGGAAGATCTCCATACAAAAGTTCATAGGTAATTTTACCGGACAAAAGAGGAGTAGACGTTCGATTAATTAAATAGCCAGCACCAAGTACACAATGTCCCTCAGAACTCAATCGGCAAATGGGCTTGAATGCATAGTGGTCGAGCAACATTAAGAATGTGTTGATATTTGCGCCTCAGTTCGTCCATTTTGTTGAGGAGTTCCAACACAAGAACTTTCATAAACAATCCCTTATTTACGAAAATAATCACTTATACGAATAAATTCAGTACCATTGTCATTGAGAAGGGTTTAACCAACACACAAAATTGCTTTTTTACAAAAGCAAAAAAATGCAATAATGTAGAAGACAACGAAGATTTTTCATCCAGTAAAAAAATCCAGGTAGCGTGAGAATAGTTGTCAACAATAGTAAAAAAATATCGAGCAACACTAAAGGTAGGAACTCTATAAGGTCTCCACACATTAAAATGAAACAAACTGAATATAGAATTGCTAACACTACAATTAAGAGGAAAGCTAGCTCGAGATTACTTCGCCCGACAACAAGCATCACAAGTTTTATTCGAGACCAAGGAGCGAGACCAAACAAAAGGCAATTGACCAAGAACAGCAGAAGAGGAATGACCCATCCGCTAGTTCCACAAGTTCTGCATAACCGAAGACACCCGAGAAGCATTGGCAGTGATCGACACTCGAAAAAAACAGAGTCCTCCCAACTGCTCACCCGCTTTAATCACTGTCCTCGAAGTGAGGTCCTGAATAGCACAATATTTACTAGTGAAGGTAGCTACACAATCAGATTGTTCCAACAACCGAGATAAAGATATCAAGCTGCACTGAAGACTGTCAACGAACAAAGCATCATATAAAATAATATGAGAACCAAGATGAACAGTTCCAACTTTACACGCATTTGTGAGCGTGCCCTTAGGTAACTGCATAGACCGAGGCAGAATATCCCGAATATCAGAAAAAAAAAAATCCAAGTATCCCGTCATATGATGTGAAGCACTGCTATCATACATCCGCTCATAAGGACTACGCTTACTGGAAAAAGGAGCATTGTTGCAGGCGGAAGTGACGAGGTGTAAAATAGACTCCCATCGGGCATCATTCAACCCAAAGCCGCCCGATCGGATTCCGTTAATGAGGATGTTGGCTCGCCGTGTATGGAGCAGAGGTACTAAGTGCAGCCCCGTTAGCGAATGCGTCGTTGACAAGGGTTGGACCACCACGTCCGTCATCAGCTAGTATGGGTCCGCGTCCGCCATGACCAGTTCATCCCCCGGCGTGAGCAGTAGTTCCCCTGCCACGTTCGTAAAAATCCGTTGGAAAAATAGCCGTTGGAATCATCAAATTTCATCTAAAATTCCAATGGAAAACTAAATTCCAACGGAAGTATGTTTTCATTGGAATTACTGTTGGAATCATTTTAAAGTAATTATACCATTAGAATATCCGTTGGAATTTTTAGTGAAATATATTACCGTACGTAGGATTTCTCGTTGGATTATTCTAATTTTTTTGTAGCGACTTTTTTTACCAATTCTTTCCCTCATTGCAAACTTGTTTGTGTTAATTGGATAATCGATAAAAATGACTATCTTTCTTATAAAATATTCTTCTTTTTGTTTTTTATAAAATAAAATAGTAAACTTTCAAAAACTCGTGTTATTTATAATTTGATATATTCATGGTTATTTCTCATTTCCTCAATGAACCTGTCATTTTTTTTCTAAAGGCTAATAATATTTCTTAACATCTTGAGGGCTAATAAGATTACGGTCTGGTACTTTTGAAAGGTCAATAATATTAGTTGACATTGTAGGCTAAAAGTGGTCTTTTAATTTATTGTTGTAGTTTTGGTCTCAAATGAGTGGAATATTGACGGGGATGTCCGAAATTTGGTGCTAAAGTATATTAGGATTTGCAAATTTGGTCCTAACTTTTTTTTTTTTTAATCCAGCCACGGTATTCGGAGTTATGCCTCGATTAATTCGAGGGTCGACCTGAGTCGCATACCTAGCAGTAGTGGGTGAGTCTCCCAACAAAAATTTTCTGCATCCACAAGGACTCGAACCCGAGACCTTACTTAAGGACATCAAGTTGCTTAACACTTAGTCAACCTATGTTGGTCCTAACTTTTACATTAGTTGATTGTAATTACAATTTTCCCATAAAAATAAATGAAATTCATAGAATTTTATGGTTTATAAAATTCTTTACAAAATTACTCTTTATTTTATTACCAAATTACCCGTGTACATTCTTTTTACCTTGACTTATCAATTGATGAATTTAATTTTTTACCTATAAATTATTAAATAAAAAACTATATTATGATTTTTTCAATTATGAAAAAAATAATTTCATGTATCATCATAAATTAAAATTGGATAAAAAATGAACAAGGTCCCAATAAAAATACTTTTTATACAAATTAAAATGTCCTTATTAAAAAATTCATTCATTCAATTCCATAATCGATAAAAACGATTATAAAACTCTCTTACAAAATAT